CCCCACACACACAAATAACATTATTTTATTAAACACTAAGGGGCCATTTACCAAACACTTATCCGGTAAGTGCTTATCGGTAAAATTCAACACTATTAATTACTTACGGGGTACGATTTTAGTCCATCAAAACGACATCGTATGCAACAATTTACCCGGTAAGCGCTTATCGTGGTAAGAGTCGTCGTTCTCACTTACCGGGTAAGACTCTAGGTCCTTATCCTGCTCTTACCGGATAAAATTCTTGGTCCTTACCATATTCATTCCGGTAAAATAATGCTACTTGGTAAGCACTTATCTGGATAAGCATTTGGAAAACGACCCCCCAAATCCATTTTTCATTGACACATCTTTTTCATAATTGTTTTCTACATATAAGTTATAACTAGTCAACCCAGGCCCAGATAACTTGTGTACCAAGGCCCAAATGTCACAATATCTCCACTTTATGACCCAATTTTGATGGGTTATATTTACAACTTTACATGAATTGTGTTAAAGTCATTGATCGTACTTTAACACAATTCATGATAAAACACAGAGTTTTAAACTCCAAACTACATATATTCGGGAAATACAGATGAATTTCTCTAACAGCTTCGGCTAGGAAATTGGGTATTTTATCGTGTTAAATCTAGTAATATTTGAACTAGAACCGTCACCTATTTTGAATCGACAAACAGGTTTTTGAGTTCGTTATTCTTGAATGAACTTCCATGTCGAAAGCGAATGCAATGGAGTTCCTTTCCACCCAACGATCAAACACTTGCCGTTGTTCTCAAGCGTGCAAGAACTCGCACACGAAAACTGTTGCAACACGAGGTTAGCTTGATACATACACGAATCACTTAAATCGATCTCGATCATCCCAAACCGAGCAAAAAACGACCTCCATGTATTCATGTTTACGCTTCTGCTAATCCGCTCGCCCCCTTCATCTGCCACCATGTTATGCATTCCCTCAGCAAGATGAACACCTTCCACCATGGCTCGATGAGCGTTATCTCGGCTCATACATGCTTCCAAGCAATCGAAAAGAGCACCATAGAAGAACAATGTCTCGGTAAAGCGATTCACAAAAGAGGTCGAATTATGGTTCGCTTCAACCTCTGCAACCACAACGATCAAAGGGTTGATCCTTCTAATTGTTCTCATCAAATTCTCCAAGCTCTGAGGTCTCGTGATCATCGTTCTTAGTATCGTTTGACAATACACCGCGATGGCTTCGCCATCCTGAACCTCAAACTGTTCTTTTCCCACCTCGGTGATGTCCGATAACACCAGTATTTTAAACAAGAACGACAAATTAAATGTCTTGGCAAACGCCTCCAATCTTTTCCCGGTTTCCCCTACTTGTTGGACATCTGAGGTTGTTGCGAAGGCGGTTATTTTCATAAGCTCGATTTGCGATCCCCGTTCTGCCAGTGCTTGCATCATCGCTGTCCATTGTACGCCGCTCCTAATATGCATGTCAATCAAATGGACCTTGCTCGATGTACCAATTTGATCGATAATAGCTTGTATGCCTGTGAATTGCAACACTTGATTGAACGGAAGAGCCTGGTGACACGCCAAGAATGTCGGATTCGTTCCCATTGCTAAGAATTCCGGACTCGATCCCGTTGATACATGATTTTTGGTCTTTTGACCCTGTTTCGGGTGTAGGTAAAAGACATTTATCTAGTAAACACTTACAGGATAAAAGACGCTTACCGACAATCAATTTTAACGATAAACGAGGGTGAACGCTTACCAGTTTTTTGAGTTTCATCGGAACGGCGATTCCGGTTTCTTTTTCAATTCTTTTCTGTAGTGCTTCACATAAATAATAGGCCAGCCGTTCCACCGGACTGCCGTCGTCGGACGTCACCCAACCGCACCGTGCTAGGAATTTGCTGGCCGTATCAAACTGTCTCCGACCAACTTTCTCAGCTGCCGTCAGAAGCTGGAAAATCAGCTCCACTTCTCTGGTATTGTCAATGGTTAGGCTCGTAAACGCCGACGATCCGTACGGGTGGGTGAACATGGTGTAGCCATTAACCCGTTGTGTTGAAAACTTGATGAACTTTTCCGCCGCTAGTTCGATGATTTCCACCGTCGATAGTTCTTTTCTAGCACAATCCGGTGTTTTTTCGTTAATAGAAGACTGATGTTCTAAATGCTTAAACCTGTTCCGGTAACCGCTGAGGAGCTCCAATGCCGCCGGAGGATTCAGCTCCGAGTATGCTGACTTAGGCTTTGAATATGAATTTGAATTTGAACTTGAAATTTCCTTGATTGATTCATTGAATTCTGGTACGGAGTATGGTCTGTGATCATGGTTTGCTTCCAGATCTTGAACCTGGATCGAAAACGGCCGAACGCCCAACCGATTGCGAAAATTACTCATGGTGTGGCTTACGTCTTCCAACGGTGGGAGTTCTTCACCGGCGGCCATATTCTCCAATTCGTGCGGCGGAAACTGGTGGCGCTCCTCCATCCCTCCATACTCTTCAAAAGGGTTAAATTCTTGGATTTGGGTTTCGTTGGCATTGAATGTTGGGTACATTTTGATGATGATCTTGAATGGAGAATTTGGCAAAAAGTTGATGAATTTGTGAGATGATCGATCGGAGGATATGAAGTGGTTGTGGGTGGTGACGACAATATCGTCAGGTGGGTCCGGAGATCGGTGGCGATGCAGAAAAGGTCAGAAAGCAAGAACAATAAATGTAACACAATTTAGGGGACATTCATCCTAAGAAGTTCAGCCGGCATACAATGTCTGAATACAAGAAAACGAAAATGACATACGGAATTGTTCGCGAGTTCTTTACAATGTCTGAATACAAGAAAACGAAAATGACATACGGAATTGTTCGCGAGTTCTTTTATATTTGTTAAAATGTACGAGGTTGTTTTTTTACCTCTTAATAGTTTTATTAAGAGACAATCTTTTAATAGTTCAATTAAGAGGCAATCTCCGAATCGTTAAAAGGTGAATTTTATTTGGCAAAAAAAAGTCTGTCTTTTAATGGTTCTAAAACTCTCTTAATGATTTTGTATCTTGTATCTCCCTTAACCATTAAGAGCCCTAATTTCATTGTACACAATTACCAAACAATTATATTTCATTTTACATTATATCATGAGAGCATCTTAATCATTTTGACCACTTCATCATTCTGCACCGAACCATTCAACAATTGCCAAACAGCCCGAAAAAGTTTTAATTGCAAACATTTTTGTCTTTATAAAACAGGGATAATGTAGAGTGTAACACGTATCTTCAATTGTCCATATTTATCATGACTTTGGTCTTCCAAATTTCGATCTAATTCTTACCCGTCAAAAGAAAACATTGAAAATGCGCATCCAAACACCTCTTTGATTATTTGTGTACCATAAAAAGAATTATAGTTCATTACAATTTTCGTCCCAGTGGTTATGAACCTCTGAATTTCGTCCCCGACTCCATTTTTTTCAAATATGTCTTACTGTTTGCATTTTGTTATGTTATTTGTCAATCCCTTTAACGAGTGTCAAGTGCCTCCCGTTAAGTGGCCTCGCATGCCATTCACATGCACACATTTCATCATTTTGCTTCTAACGCTACAAAAATGAGGAGTATCACTGTCGCTCCATCGATCAAAAGCTCCGAATCAATGACGGATTTTAGTGATGGATGTTTTTTGCGACGAATTAGCAACGGAAAACTTTCAGCACGGATTTGTGATGGAAAAGTTCCAGCGACGGATTAGCGATGGATTAGCTAGGCACTTCTTTCAGCAACGGATTAGCGAGGGAAATCTTCAGCAACGGATTAACGACAGAATATTTTTAGTGGCGGATTAGTGAGGAATCTGTGAGGGAACTGATTTTTGGCCCATCCCTCGCAGATCCCTAGTTGATTAGCGACGGATAGGACAAAAACCATTTCTCTCGCAAATCAATGACGGACTAGCGAGGGAATTGATTTTTAGCCTATCCATCGCTAATTAGCAACGGATCTTTTCTATCGCTAATAACCGTCGTTGATACTATGTTTTCTAGTAGTGTAACATGCAATTCACATGTGACATTTTAGAAGAAAAAAAAACTAGGAATATAAAGGTATTAAGGGGCCCTTTATTAAATGCTTACTTGGGTAAGCGCTTACTAAGTTATATTAACTTACCGGATGAATATGGTAAGAACCAAAAATCTAAGAACGAGGCAAGGACTGAGAGTCTTACCCGGTAAGTGAGAGCAATGATTCTTACCACGGTCAGCTCTTACCGGGTAAATTGTTGCATAAAAAGTCGTTTTTGTTGACTAAAATTTTATCCCGTAAGTAAATAATAGTATTGAATTTTATCGGTAAGTGCTTACAGGGTAAGTGTCCGGTAAACGGTCCCTAAGTTAGCAATGGTGGTAGCAACAGAAAAACAACACAAGCAGAAGCAAGAACATTAGGTATATCAACGAAAATCAATCCATCAAAACCCTAATTTGTACAAACATGTTTCAAAAAAAATTAAAATTATAATTTGTTTAAAAATTTTAAAAGGTGGAATTAGTCGAGCATATATCAGACTTGGAGCATATCAACTTTTTATATCAAAGTTCCATTTTAGTCCTAGTAGTCGCTATTATTCAACAAAGTGTAATATTGAAAATAGGACCCCCCATTCAAAATTCCTGGCTCCGCCTCTGAGCACCACCATGTCGCTGCCACATGCACCACCGTGAATGCAACAGTTAACAACACACCACCACCCTCTTAGGCTCTTAGCCCAACATCATCGTTGCCACACTAGTTCGGTTTCACCTCTGATATCATATGTAACATCTCAAGGCAACCGTCCCAGATATTGTTTGCTTTGTCCATACATCTGAACTCATGATTTTATAAAGGACCAGATACATACTCTATCAGACGCGTTTTAAAACTGTGAGTACAGGTGTGTGGACAAAGTGAACGTACAATATTTGGTCTGGGATGTTACACCTCCAAAATGTTTGTACCTAATTTTACATGTGCTTTGAGCGAATCAATTAAATGACATCGCCCTCACCTGAACTCCCGTAGCCAAAGTAGTGATCACATGATTCGCTCGAGCTTGCAAGATCATATCGAAGGACTGCAACTCGACATCTGATCTGCAGGCAGCTTCGTATGAATTAAGCTCTGAAGAAAAGCGATGGGTAGAAGATACAATAACCGATTTCTTGCTAACATGAGCTCCCATTTCAACACCAAATCCAACAAGATATCAAAATCGTAAACCCAAATTTCAGTCAGTCAATAACACAAACAGGTAAACCGCAACAAACTTAAATGAGGAAAAACCATACAGGAATGAAGAAATTCCTCCCAGTGATCAGAAATCTGAGGTAGACAATAAGAGGAATATAAAGATGAAAAACCTGTAAGAAAGAGAAGGAGAAGAAGAATATGAAGGGGATAAAGATGGATGGAAGGAGTGATAATAGCTTGCACGCATGAGTTATAATGATTTAAGATGGAAAAGGCGGGAAGCAAGTAGAAGCGCCATGGCCATGGGAGCTTGGAGATTTATGAGATTAAAGCAGTTGTGAAAACGCGCATTGAAGGTTCAAAAGGCTGAGAAACTCGAGCTTAAAGACAGGAAAGGCGGTAGGGAGGGAGTCTTGTGTAAGGACATGTATTTCTTCCCCCCAGATTACTAAAATACCCTTTCCTCATTCTAGAACGTGTTTTGGCAAAATAAATAGCTAGTGCTCGTAGTTTACTAAACGCTTACCCGGTAGCTGACATTTATCTTTCTCGATAAAACCCCAGAATCTTACCCGATATGAACCGAATCGAGTCGAGTTTGAACTCAACTTAATGGTGTTGAGCCGGTTCAACTCAAGGAATCTTTGAGATATCTATCGAAACTAAATATTCTATAAAGTAAGCTTAATTTGAGTTCAACCAAAAAGTATTAAAACATACATAAGACTCAAAAATCAGATAAAAATTTAAATCCAATTGTTGTAAACTGAAACTTGACTCGTTATATATTTCAAGTTTATTTTCATAGTCCAACTCGATAAAGTTCGACTCAACAAGTTGGAATCGAGCTCATACTCAAACAGTCAAATGTAGCGATCGACAACAACTCGATAAAGTTTGACTTAACAAGTTGGAATCGAGCTCAAACTCAAATGTAGCCATCGGTAACTTGTGTGCAAAATTTGGGATAAGGCCCAAATCTTTGTGCAACTAGTTCTTGTCTTTTGTAATTACAGTAATGGGCCATTACAATTACATGATATGGCTGCTTATTTAATATTTAAAAATAATGTTTTGTAAAACCAATTTATATTCATTGATCAACTTTATAAGCTAATGATCTAATAGTCTAAAGATATCGCATTATCCAGTTTTCAGAAACTCCTGAGATTCACAGTAACCGCCATGACCTCAAATGGTTGCTAATTATTTTAATCACCTTACAAGACGAATTAAAACTTGTTAAATATGCCAGCTAAGAATATTAATATTTTGTTCATCAAGGTTTCCTTGTGGATAGATCATACTGAAATACCCCCACCATTTTAATGGTCAACTGTTCAAGAAAACTAAATCTCATTTAACCCCATTTGCCGAATAGGGACCATATCGGCGTGCACTCGTTCACGTCGTAAGTTATTCCTTTACCTCAAAGGTCGTCTTATTTCTTTTTATCACGTACACTGCTTAAACCAAGGGAACTAAAAGTCATTCCAGAAGCATATGGTTGTCGGGTTGGTTAAATGCTATTAATGAGAACAGTGGCTCACTTGCTTCCATTTCCCCTGCGTCGATAACTGGAATCAACCAATTCAAATTTACCTTTTAAAACAAACTCTTGGATGTATACTTACACCTCAATCCTTACGTATTTTTAAATTTCGAAGTCCCAAATATTTATTTCGTAACCAATAATTTTGAGCTCAAATCGGCTCTAAAAACAACTTCTAAAATAAAGTATTGTACGCTAATTTTAAGCTCAAATTCCACTAATTTTGTTCGACCACTGTATTGATGGATTGTTTAAATTCGTCAACCTGCGACCACAATAGACAACAGGTCCACACTATCTACTAGACCAATCCTTATACTATAACAAACCCAATCGATACAAAAGTTCTCTACATCTGCTCTTTTTCAACGCATTTCTTTAGAAAAAATCACAAACAACAGTACAATATTTTACCTTCAATTCATATTTGAAAAATAAACCAGATCAGCACGTTCCATCGTAATTTCTTATGGTACAACTGTTTTTTATGCAAAATGGTCGATTGTCCGTTGGCTTCGTTTTCATGTAAAGTTGATGAATCAACGACTCTACGACCTTTAATTAAGCCACGTAAACGATCACCCCCAAAATTTTAAAAACATACCCTCATGTTTGAGGGTTTGGCATTCGGTCCCCTCAACTTTGAATTATAACATTTGTCTCTTGGTTTCTTTCTATCTTAATAGAAACATTGTTTCCAGATTACGAA